CCCCAAAACCCCAAAACCCCAAAACCCCAAAACCCCAAAACCCCAAAACCCCAAAACCCCGTAGGGAAATTCTGAGGTTGAAATAGTGGATTTAATAGGTGATTACTTGGGAAATAGGGTGGAATGTTAGTTTTGGGATAATTTTGAAATTTTGGGGTAAGGAATTAGGTATTGAGTTGTTCTTTGGTGGGAAGGTTGATAACTTCTCCTCTGACAATTTTTTCGGAGGGGTCTTGCATTTTGGTGTAGGATCTGATTTGGGGGATTGGTTGGATTGCTGTGAGGTCGATTGAGCGTAAGCCACAATATATATCGTATTCTTTGGCAATAGTGTGATATTTATAAAGTCCTGACAGAATGAGAGTTGAAGTCACACAAGAGCAAAGTCATGGGATAACAAAGGCAATTATTGCTTCCATTATAATTATGTCTTCAACTTCTTCTACTTTTATTTTATCCTCAGTTCCAGAAGAGGATTCTTGGCTATCCTTTTTCCTATAAGAAGTTTAGGCTATTAAATGTAAAGCACTTACATTGAGGCTATTTTATCCTTCAGACCAATGTAGAGTCACATGTGAGACAGGATTAACCACAGAAGTTGAAGAAGGAAAAGCAACAGAATCCACCACCAGAGCTTCCAGGTTGAAGCTCTTGTGGGGCTAAATGATTTTGCAATAAATAGATAAGATCAAAAAAGTGAGATATACACAGAACTACAGTAAAAGAAATAAAATAAGGCTAGATATCCTCTTCTGGGAGCAATGTAATTATTCTCAGCTTCAGATTCTTCTATTCTCAACCCAACTTCTGCGGTATCATAGAAGAACTCAAGCCCAGAAGAGACAGATCTGACTAGTGTGATAACAAGATAGATACATCCAAAAGCTCTAATCAATAAAGCACATCTATGTAATCTTCTCTTTCTCATAACCACCAGCTCTCCTTCCCCACAAACAATACCTACTGGTTGTGGAATTTTTGTAATTTTAGGTAAAGCTTCAACATCAGATTTCCCACATTCACTCTTTTCTTCCTAAATATTTTTAATCAAACTCCTTTATCCCAACACCCTAGCCCCGAACCACCCCTCTTCACCCATATCTCCCACCTTCCCACCCCAAAATCCTCCCCTCGAAAAGAAAGTTCTTCTGCCGCTTACCATTTCTAGAGATTTTATTATAATAACTTCGATTATTTACTCTTGGCTAGGGGTTTTGGGGTTTTGGGGTTTTGGGGTTTTGGGG